TATATATACACATATATGTCCAACCATATATATATATATATGGTTGGACATATATGTGTATATATATTCTTTTGATATATATATATATATATATATATATATATATATATATATATATATATATATATATATATATATATATATCACTTACAACCTTTTTTGTGGATACTCGTATTTGAGTAGATGCTCCGTTTATTTATTAAACAAATAACGAGGATACCCAGCGTAACTCTGAAGATCTCCAAATAATAGTTTATTATTGGCAATTTCTATATATTTTTCAGCCATCTTATGGAAAATAATTGTTTATTCAATCTTTAAAACAAACTTTATTCATTTTTGGTTTGTTACAAAATAAATAAAATTTAGGAAAATACCACACTACTAATCTCACGCCCGGGTGTGTGGTGGTGCATACTTTTATTCAAAATGACACTTTAATGTAAATAAAATATAGTTAAATTCGTAAAACAAATATTCAACACGACTGATGCTGACCGTAATTCATCTCTGTCTCTTTTAATTTTATTTAACTATTTTTTTCCTTTTCAAATACAAATATAACTTGCAATGTAAATCGATTTTCAAAACTAAATTCTCAATATATCTTGATTCTGCTCTCTTTCAAAATAGTAATTAAAATCATTTACAGAGAAAGTCTGCTTCTTTAATGTTATGTTTAATAGTAAATATAGTTTTTGCATTAATAAAACTTAATTTAAAATGATGACTTTTTTTCATGTTAATTACAAACGAAAACAACACTGGAAGTCTATTTTTTTAAAGATTAAGTTTAAAAATTATTTTACCTAAGGTGGCTGAAAATATGATTAGTCAATAATACATACACTCATTCATACAGACAACTTCCCTTTAAGGTGTTATTGTGTCTGTATATATATTTACTTTGTTGTAAGTTATTGTATTATTTTTAGTTTTATTCGGACACACACACACATACACATACTCAAATATTTGAATAAATAAATATTGAACTTTTTCAAATAAGTGTATTTAATATTTTTCTTCTTTTAAATTTAATTTATTTTAATATTCATTTTTGTAAGTTACGTTTTTATTTACAATAGCTGAGAAAATAAATTCAAGAAAATAGAAATTTTAAAAATACATACTTGTATAGCGTTTCATGTAGCAGTAGAATTAAAACGTAAAAACGAACGGTAATAATAATCGCGAATAATAATTAATACCGTTCGTTTTTACTTTTTAATTCTGAGAATTTAGATTGCATTCTAATGCATTTTAATTTTTAAAATATCTTTGTAAATACAAATCATAAGATGATAATTTTTACACCAAGGTGGCTTGGGTGATAATGAGTCTGTATATTTATATTTATTTTGTCATTAATTATTGTAGTTTTTAAGTTTTAGCCAGTCACACACACACACATACAAACTATTGACAATATATCTGTATAGATATATTTATTTTCCTCTCCCGGCCTGAATGTTTGAGAAATTTTATCAGGGAAAAGTATGCACCCTCCAGTAGGATTCAAACCTGTGTCCCTCCTAGCAGAGAGTGCTAACTATCTGAACTATAAACAACGATTAGACAAAGCTGAAATGGTACCTTTAAGCGAAAACAATTATCCACTAAAAATTGCCGCTTAAATTCATACAAATTTGTCAGATTAATAAAAATCCATTTACTTCTTTAGAAAAGTGCATATACAGTATGCGATGTATAAATTGTCGTCTAAAATAAAAATAACGTTGACATCTCATTTTAACAGAAATATTCACCAAAGCGACACAAAAAAATAACTTGAAACTAAAAATATCTGGAACAGTCTAAATTTATTCAATAAAATCGGTGTTCATTTCAACCACTGTCTCCAGGTGACTTCAGAAATCTTCAGAACGGTCTCCTTGTTTGAGTTGTTGAATAATGCCAAAATCCTTGCATTTTTCGTGTCACAATGAGTTTTGTTGGTCTCCCGCTGAACTGCGCCCCACACATGATAATCAAGGGGGTAGCAATTAGGGGAGTTAGGTGGCTAGATTTAAGGGGTGTTGTGGTCGCAGAAATTTTCTGACAGCCATGATTGGGTTCTCCTACCTGTGTTGCCAGACATATGATCTTCCAGCAACACCCTCTAGACCCAGGTCAGGACTACCTCCTCAAGGCACTTAATGCAGGCCTCTGTAGCGAGTCTGCATCCCTGTGGGAAGATGAATGGAGACATAACGTCGTCATCATTAGTGATCTCTCGAAAGATCTTCGTGATCATCATCCAACTCTTTCTGAATCTTCTGCATTGTTCTCAGCTTGACATCCAAACACTCTGAAATGTTCGTATTGGAGATTCCATCGCGAATACCAAGCAGTACAGTATGTCGTTTCCAAATTTCTGGCAGAGTAAATTGCGTCTTACTGGTCTTTTTCTTGCAGGAGGTGCCCACATACGACACAAACATAAAAACTGAAGATCCTCATACATCGAGTTGAAATCGACTGGAGACTTGCTGATACGCCCTGAAGAGAGGACAACAAATCACTAAGTCCTATCAAAATATATAAAATCACTTGTATTTATCGCATTGCAAGGCCGAAATTTTTTTTTTTTTTTTTTTGCATTATGTGCTTTAATAAAGAACGAGAACAACAATAATCAATGAATTAATAAAGCTTCAAACGACTTATCTTGCGATCGAATTCAATGTTTCGCGGAATCACCATCTGTCATGGTTCGATAAATCTATTGAATTATTAACAGATATCATATTTACTGTACATTTGAAATTTGTTTGGAGGCGATAAGAGTTTCTTATGTTGAGTATAAATATAACAACTGTGAATAATTCAATAGATTTATCTGACCCTGACGAAGTCGGTTGCAAGATAAGTCATTTGAACATTTATTAATTTATTGACTACATATATAACTACACATACACACATACGTGCGCGCACAAACACATACACAAACATATATATATAAGAAAAATGCATATATATATATATATATATATATATATATACATATGCATTTTTCTTTAAAAACGATAGACAAGGTACTACGATTAAGCTTTTTGATTAATTTTTCTTGTGTTCGAAATATTTTTGGGATACAGAGTGTGAAGAAACTGTCCAAGTCCGAACACGAGAAAAATTAAATAAAAACTTAATCGTAATACCTTGTCTGTCGTTTTAATGAAACATGCATAAACGAAGGATTGCTGCCTAAATACTCACTCACACACACACACACTAACACGCTCAAACAAACACATACATATATATATATATATATATATATATATATATATATATATATAGAGAGAGAGAGAGAGAGAGAGAGAGAGAGAGAGAGAGAGAGAGAGACAAATGAAGAGAAAGGACAAACAGATTTAGAATACACAGTTCCGGGCATTTATATATGGTTCTAGGAACATTCGCCGTAAACAATTTTGCCGTAGGAAAAATCGCTTCAGGAATTTTCACCGTAGAAAACTTTGTCGTGAAATCCGATAAGATAAAGATAAGATAGGGTAAAGAAAAAATAGAAAGCTTCTAAAGATCGAACATATTTTGCAGTGTTGAAACATAATTAACATTATGTAGCGCTTTTAACAAGTTTTTTTACTTTACTAATCTACTTTTTGTATGAATGATTCATGTAATATAAATTGAACTGCACCACATATTTGATTTAAAAAGATTTGATCTGACGTGCAAATTTTCGGGACAACAGCTGCGACATTACACTATTTATTGAACAATTTAATTCATGCTAAATCGACTGAAAAACTCCTACAAGAAAAAAATTCTCAAATTACCATATTAATAAAAAAACGCACTCTCTTAAATTTTCAAAAAAATTCAACCTTAACGTTGCGACTACAAGCTCCAAAATTTCTTATCCGTTAACAATAACACATTTTTAAAAAAACTTATTTCGATTGACATTTAATCTTTCGTGTCCCGCTACTACCTGGATTTACTAAAAAAATCAAATTAAATTCCATGCCTGAGGCTGGCTGTAAGTACAGCTAAAAGTACTAGCAAAATAAAAAAAAAGACCTTATACAACTAGAGGTTATTAAAAACAAGGATCATAATATTCATAGAGAGGTACGTGGGTTAATGTAACCTTAATAAATTTGTTTGCGAAGATGTTTTTCGCCATTTATATCATTAACTTCACTAATCTACATTTTATATGAATGATTAATGTAATATATATATATATATATATATATATATATATATATATAATATTAGTGGTCATATATATATATATAGAGAGAGAGATAATATTAGTGGTTATATATATATAGATGTACAGATAATATTAGTGCTCAATATATATATATATATATATATATATATATATATATATATATATATATATATAATATTAGTGGTCTGTATATATATATATATATATATATATATATATATATATATATATATATATAATATTAGTGGTCTGTAAAATATATATATATATATATATATATATATATATATATATATATATATATATAATATTAGTGGTCTGTATTTCTCACACATACACTCTCATTAAAATTTTGTTTTTGTACCCGGAGTTATATTTTCCCGATTTCTTTTTTTGAATTTGTAGGTCTGATGAACTGGATCGTGATTACGATTCCAATGGAATAAATTATAACCATGGAATATTAGTGTTTGAGTCTTTTTATATTATATATATATATATATATATATATATATATATATATATAAAACATTCTTTGACATTTACATAGATATGAACACTCCAACCTACACACATATTTATCATATAAATACAAATACCTCCAACGCACATAGACACATATATATATATATATATATATATATATATATATATATATATATATATATATATATATATATATATATATATATATATATGAACAGACACAGCTTTTTGTATCATTTTCCCTCGTTCTATCTTTTTTGTGTGTCATTGTTATTGTTGTTGAGCGGTTATTATTCTTTCTTACCCTTCAGAGGGAGTATGTTTGTATGGCAGACCAGCCTTGTTGAGAAAAAAAAAGAAAATGCGTCCAACTCTGGCACTTAGCAGTGAGATGCGAAAAAAAGGTGCAAAGGATTTAATGGCGCATAGAGTCTCAAATGTTTTGCTTGAGGACCGTAGCGTTGAAGACCGTGGCTCACTGGCTGGCTGACTGGAAGTCAAAGCTGAAAGCACACAAAGGAAAAAGTAAAATTGAAGGTCTTGATGGACGGACAGGCGTTCGCACGATATGATCGCGAAAAGTACGAATTACTTGGAGAAGTTTAAGAAAACGAAAAAAAAAGAAAAGTAACCGGGGAAGTGAGAAAAAAATGAATGAAAAATGTAGAAGGTCGAGAGAAAGGAGATAGGGACGAAGTGGTTAGGGGACATTTTGTCTTACTTGTGGCTATCATAAAACCGATACAAATACGTATTTCATTTTCGACTTCGTCTTGTTCTATACAATCAAAAACAGACGCATTAGGCTGACATGATTTAATCGTCAACGCTCTCTGAAATACAACCATTTATTATTTATTTTACTAACGTAGGCAACGCAAACATAATACACACACATGATTGGGAACTCTCTCTCTCTCTCCCCACTCTCTCTCTCTCTTTCTCCTCTCTCTCTCTTTCTTTATCTTTCACTCTCTCTCTCAAACAGACAAAACATCAGATTCACCTTAGAACTCCTTGATTAGGCAGAGAGTTTTTCAGTATGCCCTAGTTTATATATATATATATATATATATATATATATATATATATATGAGTGGAGGAGGCAGAGAGACAGAGAGGAAGAAGGTGACAAAGAGAGAGTGAAAAAAGAAGGTAGAGGGAGAAAGAAATAGGCATACACACACGCACGCACGCACACACACGCACGCACGCACGCACACACACACACATATATATATTCATAAGTGAACATTGAAGTCAACACTCAGAGGCGACAGGCTGTTTCATGCTGGACGCAATCGTCAGGCCGGCCTGACGATTGCGTCCAGCATGAAACATAACTATAGCACACCTTAAAACTATATTTCTTCATATATATATATTAATGCTTAAATTTGGGTAACAGCCTTTCTTTCTTTTTTTTTTTTTTTTTTTAATCTTTTTTCGTTAAATATGGTAGATAAGGACATTTTAATTAAGTTTTTTTTTTTTAAATTTCCAGCGTCCTTACGTTTTTCAGTTAGGAGAGCAAAAAATGTCCCATTGTCCCAAAATATAAAGAGAAATAGAGGGTGGAGGCAGTTAGGGGTGCTATGCCGCCCTGCCCTCGCGATAGTATGATACGGGCTTTCCCACTCTACTACATATCAATTTTCATATAAAATACAAATCTTATGGTAACCTAATTTATATTAAATAATGGATCCTATGCAATATAGATAAACAATTCAAATAGAAAAATTGAAAATAAATACAATGTATCTAACTGCAAACTAGAGACATGTCATCATAGATATTTCCATCCTAAATAAATTTTGTGGGGCAAATTTTTACATCAATTTGGGATTTTTTTGTTAAGAAGTTGAATAATTTTAACTCATTCAATATTATGGATAAATATAGTGGATTTTATATAGTGTTTTTTTCTAGGTTTTGCATGAGCAAAGTAAATTCATGGATATGGACTAAAAAACATCCCATTAATAATCAGTTTAACTTAGCTTAATTTCTAACGTTTATAAATGTAGGTAGAAAAAACAAATTTAGATAAGACAGTGAGGGTCGCAAAGCACTATACGGCATCCCAATTAGGTTGCCCACCGGTCGGGATAGGTGGGGGAAGTATTCATCGGCCCTACAGCCGACTATCATGCAAAATCATTTTTTGATCAAAATGAATGACACGATACAAACACCGTTGAACGATATGAATTTCTACCTCTATAAATTTGATTTTTGGTTTTTACCCATTTTCAAATGGATACATTTTTATTCGACTTCTTTTTTTTCTTTATTTTTTGTCAATCCCACTTAAAAAATTTGAAATGGCGTTTATGAAGACATTAATTTTTACTATAAATCTTGTTTCTTACTAAAGAATTGAACTCATATTTTATCAAGGCATTCAATTTACATCAATGAAGGATTGTTTTGACCGACCTCTCTTCCTTTTCGAAACTGAGATTTGCACTTGTAAATTATAAAAACCAAAGTCTTGCTGTTTGTTTATTCCCTGATTTTTCTCCAATGCTATTAGCATCTTTACCACATTTAAATTTATACAAATTTTACATATTCCCTTTAAATTACATTAAAAATTAAAAAAATCTAATTCATGCTTTATTAAATATTCAACATGATTTTAATATAAAGCCTCAACAAAGTAGGTACCTCTAATAATTCGCTAAAAATCAGTATAGTATAATGATAAAAGGCTCCAAACTTAATAAAAACAAAGTTTTTTATTGTTAAAATGTTCATGTTATTATTAGGATGAAAGAACAGCGTATTTTTTAATTATTTAAAAAAAAATTTTTTCTTCTAACACGTTATAAATTTGGTTGAAAAATCTCGTTTTTTATTTTTTTTGTCAACTTTGTACTACTTGTAGTAGTGGCCATTTTAGTGTATTAGTTTCCGGGGGAAACCAATTAATTCGGAAATTCTTGCAAAAAATAAATAGTTGTCTGATTTTAATGAAACTTTCAGAACTTATTCAAAAATAAATTAATTTATTTGTGAAATTTTTATTTTTAGAAAATCTTGGTAAAATTTTTTTTTTACATCTTTCACCCACCACCAACTTAATTTTATGAAATTTTCTAGAGTTTCAAATAGTTTGCGAATTGTTTTATATTACTTATAAGCAGGAATCCTTGGAGAAATTAAATCGTCAATTTTTTTTCACAACTACTGCCAACTTTTTAAACATCTGCTCCAAATAGTAAAATAAAAACTGCAATAAAGCTATCTAATTATCAAATTATAAATAATATACATTAAGAGCATTATTATCTGAAGAAAAAAATTCAGTGAATAAAGAATTTCCACAAGAATTGTTTGCATGTTTCTTTTAGTTTGTTTTTTTTTTTTTTTCATTTTTCTTTAATTTTAAAAAATGTTTTTAAATTCTCCCAAAGAGAGTACGAGGTAGGTTATTAAGATTTTAAGTGAAGAATATATTTACTAAGCAAAAATTAAAAGCCTAACACAAATCACGCTTTCAAAATTTTTACCATAAAGATATTTTTTATGCGTCAAAATGCTATATTTTTTAGTGTATCTCGTAAGTGACATTATGGTTAAAAGGTCGCGTGTTTCAAGGCTTTTCTCCTACATAGGGAAAGCCCCTTGACATAAAGACCTTCGGCTTATGTCACACTCAGTTATTAAATTACAAATTAAATGGCGATAATAAATTTAAACAATTAATAACTGAGTGAGATATTTTAATTACCAATATAATAATAATTTTATTAGTTATTATCTCAGTTATTAAATTAAAAATGTAATAAATTAATGTAATATTAATAATTAATAAAATTATTTATCATTATCTTAGCTATTAAATAAAGAAATACCATTATAGAGGTAACTCATTAATGTAAGAAATTTTTATAGTATTTTAAATTATTATAAGAAACAAAAAAAAAACGTTATGTCAATTTTAGTGCACCGTACTAAAACTGTCAACACATTCAACCATCAAATTATTAATAGAGACGTGAAAATAACAATACATCGAGGTCAAGGAATGTTTGTCTGGGAAAATTTTATGCTATAGTTATAGTAAGTGATATTTGTTTCAGAACAAAATAGTTTAACTTTAAATTTGCTATTTTTACGAAAGTAACGTTTCAGAAATGTATATCTTATTTTAGTGGGATTTTCAAAAAGGGAAAAATAAGTTTTTGTCTAAATTTCTCTAAAAAAATTAAAAATAGCTTCTTCGATTGGGTTTTCGGAAGAATCAACTAAAAATCATTCAAATTTCTATCTGAAATATTCCACGGTATTTTTTTCTGGAATTAGAAAATTTAATCCTTTAGCTTTCAATTGAAGCTGGGGAAAAGTTTTGAAAAGGATTTTTCCTTTATGAAAAATGCATTTACACCTTAGGTATACGACTTTTTGGAGGTACCTATAATAAAGTTACTTTTTTTGAAGGACAGTAAAAATAGCCAGCCAATGACAGTGTGTGTTTGCCTGCGTGTGTCTACGCACATATATACGGTAATTCACCACGACTTCATCTATAATATGCACCCCTAAAATTGCGCTGAAAGTGTGGGTAAATGCTTCTACTATTGCATAATACGCATTCCTTGTTTGTTAATCAAAACCTATAAATAGTACCTTTCCAATTTCATTACAGCTAGACTTTCCTACTCTTATTTAAAAAATGGTTTTAAACACGAAATAATATTATTATAATTTAGTTTTATGATAATTCTTATATCCTTTTATATTTGTAAGTATTGTTAGGTACATAATATTGTATTTGACATCCTTATGGGGTCGCAATCGCCGAATGTTAGTGTCAAATTGTCGTATGTTTGTGGTGAGTAGTCATTTCGCAACTGAAATAGACCTATGAAACAGCAGTTTTTTTTTTAATTTTTACGTACTCTGCATAATACGCACCGCTAATTTTGCTTATTATTTTTTTTTAGAAAAAAATGCGTATTATACATGGGGAATTACTGTAAATATCCGCATGTTGATATCAAATTGTCTGTCGCACACAGAAAACTGGTGGTTTTGAATTTGCTCATTGAATTAGTTTGCAAATACAGTGTAACCCGGATATAAGAGACCCGGATATAAGAGAGATTTTCTCTGGTCCCAAATTAGAGCCTAAGTTAATGTATATAAAATAGACCAAACCCGGATATAAGAGAAACCCGGATATAAGAGACTTCGTCTCTGGTCCCGCCAACTCTCTTATATCCGGGTTACACTGTAAAAGCTTTGTAGTATGAACCGAAGAATGATACTTTTTTTCCGCAAAGGATAACGAGCTTCTCTCTACCGCGTGGCCATATATCAAACAGGACTATGTTTATCCCTTTGACCCCTGGGTTCATGAACAATTTTAACCCTTCTGCCTGAACTCCTGAGTCAAAATTCACAAATATTTGGTATATAATGTTTCACGGTAGATATAAAAAAAAGGTACAAATGTTTACCCACCGTTCAAACGGTGGCTGGGCATTAAGTCCTTTTTCTCTACTACTATTCAACCGGTACCTGGGCATTACGTCATTTTTCTCAACTACCACTATTCAACCGGTAGTTGGGCATTACATCATTTTCCTCTACAAACTATTCAACCGGTAGCATGGCATTTTCATTTTTCTCTTCTACTATTCAACCGGTAGCTGGGCATTACGTCATTTTTCTCTACACTATTCAAAAGGTGGCCGATT